GGCTGTTCTAGTTCTTGTGCCTATTTTGAGCTTTTGTGCTCATTCTTGGAATAGGTTGTCAAAACTCACACTGGATTTGACTATGTGGTCCATTACCTTGACGACTTTCTATGTGTCGGCCCCAGTGGCTACGTTTGCAAGCTAATGCTCTGCAGTCTTACATGCATTTTTGGGCGCTTTAGCATGCCCATTGCCACTGACAAGATGGAGGGTCCTTCTACCGCCATCACATTTCTGGGCATTGAAATTGACTCTGTACAAGGAGTTTGTAGACTGCGCTTAGGCAGTTGCAGTTACTACTCGGTAAACCCAACTTCGCTTGCACAGTGTTGCCAGTTGGCCACATTTTCTCTTGTAGGGTTCGTGAGCCACAACATTTCATCTGCTTAACGTCTCCTCAAAAGGCAGGTTTAAGTATCTGGCAAGAGTTTCTGGGCTCTGTTGATGGCTGGAGTCATCTAGAATGAATGCAGATTTTGATTTGTACATCGACAGGCTGGTTCCTTTGGTTGCGGGTAGGTGGTGTGCTGCTGCCTGGCCCAAGCGTTGGGTTTACAAAGAACTTGATGCTTCTGGAACCTTTTCCATTGTTGGTGACAGTTGAGCTTTGGGGCCCTCAGCTCCGCAATAAATCTGTGCTCTTTCACTCTGACAATATGGGGATGTTTTCTCTGTTAATACTTTGTCTGCCTCTTCTCCTGCTGTTGTCACGTTTCTGAGACAGTTTGTGCTTTTATTTTTGCGATATAACTTGCTATTTAGAGCAATTCACGTTCCTGGGTTGTTTAATGACATTGCTGACTCTCTCTCTTGCCTTCCTTTTTAAATCGTTGGGATGGCCTGACTACACCAAGTTATTCATAGTTCGCCAGGCATTGAAAGGGTGTAAGAGGCTGTGGACATGTTCGGATCGCCGATGGCCGGATTCCTGGGACATTTTGCGTAATATGATAAAGATTCCTCAGTTATGTTATATCCCTTTATGAAGTTTCTCTCTTTGTGTTGGCCTTTTCCCTGGCGTTCTTTGGTGCCTTCCGCATTAGTGAATTGGTTAGCCCCAACAAATGGACAGCTGGGGGGCTCCAAGTGGAGGATGGAAAGGACAATAGTATTGAAATCATCCTGCGTTCTTCGAAGACTGATCAGCTGCATCGGGGTGTGGCTATTTTTTTATTTGCAATGCCCCCTTGTATGACGTGCCCTGTTACTTGTTTGACGGCATTTTTGGCGATTCAACCTCAGGTTGCGGGGTTCTTCCTCTTACATGAGGATGGTGTTTTCCTCTTTCACTTCCAATTCATGCATCTCCTTCTTCATTGCCTATCTGCACTGGGGCTGTCGATGTCAGATTATGGAATGCACTCATTCTGTATTTTATACGGAGGCCGCCAGGTTGGGTATGTCTAGGGATGCAGTTCAGAGGATTGGCAGGTGGGAATCGAGTCACTATCATACATATGTGATGCCTCACAGATTGGAAATATGACCTAGGCATGGGAGAGCTTAATACATTTCTGGTGTGTTGGGTTTTTTTACCTCTGTCTTGCAGGTTGTGTTTTACACCTTCTGCTGCTATGTTGGTTTCCTTTTTTTCGTCTCATTTCTTTTAGGTAAGCAGTGGCTTGTGGCCTAGATCATTGGCCTTTCCTGTATTTTCTGGGCCGCTCGTAGAACAGAACTTCGCCGCAGCAAGCTGCAACTGGGTTTTTCGGTGGTCCAATTCAAATTGGTGTGGTTGGGAATTTGTGGACTACTTTGGGCTAAGGTTCTCACATTGCTTTGAAATCGTGTGGCACCGGAGGGACCCCTGGACATTTTGCATCTATATATTGGGGAAATGATGTTGGGGTTATCCCCTTCCGTGCCCTTATTTTGGCTATGTAATGAGATTTGACAGCCTTTTTGGAAGACCATCCTAATGTTGTTCTCGTATGTCCGGAGATTATCCCGTGTGTTTTCTGACGCCAGGCCAGGGATGTCAGGGCCCTTGACAAGGCACGTATTAAAGTTCACAGGGCTATCTCTAAATTTACTGCTTCTCAAAATGGCTTGGTAGCTCGTCATGTGGAGTTAGAAGGCAGGCATTGTTATTTTCGATTGGATGGGGTCCATCTTAATGATATGGGTCTTGACATGTTCAACCTACAGGACCAGATTTAATAGGCTATTTCCTTGTGGCGGTCTGGGAGTCGATGAGGGAATCATCATTCTCCTGACAGTGGCCTTTACCCCTTTTGAGGGCTGAGGTGGCAGGTGCCTGGTAGAGGTGGAGGAATTGGTAGCAGCAAGTCCAACTAAGCCCCTGAGCCTAACCTGAATGGCTGGGGGCCGATTCGGTGGCCGGAGATACGCCACTCAACAGTGCTGAAAAGGGATTTGGTGTTGAATATGTTTTATTGGTCAATTGTTCATTATTTACAGATATCAAGCTGTGGTCGATACTTAAATAATAATGTATCAACGCAGTTGAAAAGTATCTTTGTTGTCAGTGTGGTTATTTAGGTCAATCTCAGGGAGCAGTGAATGGTGTACCAGTCAAGTAGACATTATATTTCAGACTGTATGGATGCTAACCTTGATAAGGTATAGTTCAACCAATTCAGAAAGGGTGAAATATTGCTGGCAAAGTCCAGGGATATCTAAACATAATATAAACAATCTTTAAATATGACTGTCTAACAAAAGCTCCAGGGTTGCCAACAGTCCGCAAGTTTACAGTTTTTAAAAATAGGCAGATTTTTAAACTGTTCATAAATATCTTTTACGGACAGTGGCTGCTTGTGAAAAAACATGACTCAGGCAGGCTCGCCTCGGCCACGTACTTGGACAGGGGCAGACGGCCAGGAGCATGGTTAATGACGTCATGGCACCAATGGTGGACTACAGCAAAGGCAGTAGAGCTGGGCCAGGAGTCGGAGACCCAACACACAGCTGAGCTCAGCCACTGACCAGATCATTGAGCCTGAACCCAGCATTGAGACTGCAGACTCTGCACACTGACAAGATCCCCTGTGAGCTTCTGGCCAGTGCCAAGCAGAAGCAGGAGGAGAAGTACCTGAAGCTGCTGCTGGAAACGACTAGCTTACCTCACAATCACAATTGCTTCGATTGTGTCCAGAAGAGTCCGACCTACGCCATTATGATGATGGGCTCGTTTATGTGTACATTCTGGCCTGCATCCTTTGTCCACTTTCACGGACCACTTTCTGTGTGGCTCCTTTATGGAGCTATTGAATTACAGAGCCTTCTCATGATCCTGGCCCATCCAAGCACCCAGAGGAGGGAATCCCTGTAACACAGGCTGCAGACCCATCCATCCTTAAAGGGGACCTCTGGATGAGCAGACCTTTTATCCAGCCCAAGAAATTCTGCTGTGCTGCTCCATATCTAGAAGGAAGTGTACCATACACCTGGCATATCCCACTCCCATAAGTGGACCTGGTGGACTTATTTATATCCGCATATTCAATGCACATTTGGTGAGTGCGCAATTTTACTATAACTTCCAAGCACAAGCATCTGAGTTCTGCTGCAGTTGGGATCCTGTATTACTATCATCATTTTATTATTTATGAACTTTTATGAACTTTTTCAGTTTAATTCGTCACTTATATTTACTAGTTTATAATAGACAGTATAACACTAATGTAATATTATTTGATCTCATAACTGGACTAAGACAACATAATATGGGAGTAAAATATCCACAGCCAGTTGATTACAAAAAGGGTTTGAAACTAAACATGTCATTCAGGTCGGGAGGCGTGGTGGCTCGTAGATCATAAATCCATCTTGTTTCTCTTTGTAGGATATATTTGCCAAATTTCCCTCCCCTAGGGTTTTCTTGGACTTCAAATGTCATCATGGAGTAGTCATAATTGTGTTGGAGGCCAACGTGGCCTCCCACTGGTGTTATCAGCAGGCCATTTAGGGCATAATAAATATGTTCTTGACTCTTTTCCAGAATGGTTTTGCCAATGTAAAACGCTCCACACTGGCATAACATTATATAAATGACCCCTTTGGATTGGCAATTCACGTGTTGTTTAAGCATGTGTAGGCTGCCATTAGGTAGTCTAAATGAGGTGCCCTCTAATATCCATTTGAAGAAATTGCATGACCCGTACCGGAATAAACCTGCCTCCTGCCTACCTTGGGGTTCATGTCTAAGATGATGGCTTCTTAGCACCCAATCCTTAATAGAATGGAATCATTTGTAAGTGATTTTGGGATGTTCTTACATCATTTATGTTATTTTAATTCAGATGGTCACAATTCCCCTATAGTGATTTATATACAGTACCTGCCAAATATAATGTATTGAGATCTGGAAGCCCCCTGACCAACAAGTTTTATCCTTTTCTTTGTCTCTTGTTTTTGGCCTTAGGCATGCTTTATGTGACATATTATTGTTTTTTTTTGTATTGTCCATTTTCCTTATTGCAATGCTGTTGTATCACAAGGATAAGCTTTCTCCCTGCCATTTGCTTGGCCTCCTCTTTGGCTCCAGTGCCCTCCCCAGGAGACCCCTCATGTTCACTTGCGCACATATGAACAAGGTGCTTTGCCTAAATATGGGAAACAATTTATATGGGATGATTTTGATGTCTATATCATATGGGTATATTATATTTTTTTTGTTACCTTTTGTATGGTTAGTGATCACTGCTGAACTCTCATGTGTCCTGAGGAAGCGAAATAAAAGAAACACGTTGACCCATAAGGACTCAGGCCACATTGTACAACTATATAATTGACTAATTAGTCTAAGTGTAATTTATATATATATCAGTGGTATGAATGAGTCAGCAATCACATGTATCATTTAATAATGTGTGTACTATTTTTAATTTGGCTTTAGCCTAACGTAAATTTATTTTAACTTGGATGTAATAAAATATTATATTTTATTAAATAGGTGTGTTCCTTTTCAATGCCAGTAAAGTCCAGTAAATGCCAGTAAATTGTTTGTTTTTCTTTTTTCTTGGTTTCCATTAGACATTGTGGGGCCCCATACAGCCTGCCTGACATGACCCCCCCCCCATACAGCCTGCCTGACAGGGCCATTCTGCCATCCCCTTCAACCCCACACAGGCAATACACAATAATCCTACTGGCCATGGCTCCCAACAATTAAATAAAGTTTCCCCGGTCTCAATTTAACAGCGGGGCCAGGGATAAAAGGGGACTATTTACTCATTTTCAGGATTAGACAGAGTAATTCTCCGTGCTTCATCTCCCGACATTTAAATTAAAGTTCCAGCCTGCCTTGGTAGATTGGTATAGAAAAAGAGGCCCGGGACATTCATTTAATTGTGAAGAGTCACAGCACAGAGGATTACTCTGATTGCTGCTGAACTGATGGGGCTTGGGGAACTTTTATTTATTTGCTGGGAGCCAATGGGATTACTGTGCATGTGTCCAAAGGTTTTTAAAGCGTCCCCTCTCTGCCCCTGGCCCCTTGCTGGGCTGATGGGGCCTGGGCCAGTGCAAGAGGATTGGCTTCACCCCACTAATCGGTGGCCCTGTATGTACAATGCCAGTATGCATTTCCTTTAAGAAAGATCTTTACATAGGCAATGCAGATACACTTTTGTCTGATATTTATAGTAGCCATGAGGTTAGTTCTGAACGTGCATGATAATTAAATGCCAGGCTGTACCAGCCGTGCAGCCAGTAAACACTTACATGCCTGCATTAATTACTAGAGCATCTGATCTTTTCATGTTCTGTTTACATGGCATAATAACACCTCTCCTTTTTTGGGCTTAATTGCCTGGAGTTGTCCTCGCAGAATATGTCAGGCCTCCATTTCACATCTTCACTGAGCTGCAAAACCACAGAAACATGAAACCACATCTGACAGCAGAATCCAGTGTTATTGCTTTTAAATGTGACAAATACAGCTATGTTCATAAATCATAGATTACAATTCAATTTACTCTTTATATGCTGGCATACAAGATATTAATAACACTAGGCTGCTATATGTCCTTGCTCTGCCTGTGCCATTATATTGTTTGATTGGAACATAATTTACTATCAATAAGCTGTAGGTGTGCATTGTATTGAATTTTTAGTTGTAGTATACTATAGTATTAGTCCTCATTCACATTGGATGTTTTTACAGCAGCTGTTTTGTGCTTTTGATGTTTTTTTCTACAGCCAGTAAACCCCCCCCCCCCCCCCCCCCCCATTCCCAGCATGTTATCCTGTGTCCATGCACACATAGGCTTTAATCAGCATTTTTTGGCAGGGGCGTTTGTTGGCTGGAAAAAAAACCCAGAACTAGTGGAGGGTTTTTTTTGGCTGTAAAAACGCTCTAACGCTGTAAAACGCGCAAACCAGCGTTTTTGGACTTTTTTTAGCAACTTTTTTTCTCATGTAAAGAAATGCGGGAAAAAACGCTGCTAAACGCTAATGCAAAAACGATACAAAAATGCTGGAAAACTTGTGTTTTTAACGTTACTTTACGCAGTTAATGCTACCAGTGTTATTAACACACCCAGTGTGCATGGAGCCTTATGCAGGCCATAGACGGGTTGAAAATCAGACGATTTTCGCACCGTTAATGGGTTAATTGGTCGACCGTTTTTCAAGGTTTTGGCACATTTTTTTTTATCAGTAAAGTTGGAAAAAAATCGGCAATGATGGGCAAATCGGCCGATCGTTTTACCGAGAAAAAATCTGCACATGAGCCGTGACGAAGAAGAAGGAGAAGGAGAAGAATTATTCCAGTCTGCTATTATATTTGACATGAAAAAGTATTGCGGTTGCAACAATGTATCAATTTGTATCCGAATAAAAACATCTGTATCCGAAATGGATACAAATAGATACAATGTTGCAACCGCAATACTTTTTCAGGTCAAATATAATAGCAGAACTCTCTGCAAGGGACAGAAGTAATTAAATGCCAGCTGTAGACAGGACGAAAATCGGCCGATTTTTTTTACCGTTGGTGGTAACATCGGCCTATTGAACAACCGATTTTTCGTTTTTTTTTTTTTAAAAACACCCGGTTTTCGACCCGTCTATGGCCTGCATTAGTAGATGTTCATTGATGATCTTTTTGGCATGCCCTGTGCATGCCTGTTAAAGGATCACTATCATAAAAGCCATTAGAGGGAATTCTTTAAAGCACTTACAACACTTTTCTGGCATTACGGCCCTTTTAAATGGCCAGTGCCAAAATGGAAGAATTCCTGCTTCCAGTTTCAACAGCTTTACTAACATAGATACATAGAAAAGTGATGGCAGAAAAACAGAGTGATCCATCGAGTTTTCCCTTTTTTTTTCGGGGGGGGGGGGGGGGTTTGTTTGTTTTGGGGGGTTTTTTATAGCCCACTGTCAGCTTATTGGTCACAGCAGAGCAAAAGTAAGGCTGGCCATACATTATACAAATTTCTTACAATTTTCTTACAATGTCTGACCAATTTCCTTTAGATTTATTGTCAACTATGTAGTGCAAGGGTCTGCCTAATTGGATACAATTGACAATGTTGTTTAGGTTTGATCTCTTGTTATTTACGTTTTGGTAAATCTAAAGGAAAATTGTACAAGAAAATTGTATAATGTACGACCAGCCTAAGTGCACTCTTGTGACCCACAAGAGAAGCATGGCCAAAAAAGATTTGGCCATACATCTCTTTTAATGTTTGCAAAAGAGTTCAAGAAGTCTTGAAAAATGGCAGGAACACATATTTCTTTTTCAAAATGCCTTTACAAACATAGCATTATAGATAATTAATCCTTCATACAATATTAATGTCCATATGTTATATCAACCAGTGACTAAAAGGTAGTAAGTGTGATTACTCGTGAAGGCTGACACTATTATAGATTTTATCTTGAGAATTTAGAGTCTGTTTAATCTTATAGGATTGTCCAGATAAATGATTCATGAAAATTGATTGGAAATGTAAATTATGTACTATATGGCGCACTCTAGCAGTTTTTTTTTTTTTCATTGAGAACTACAAAGGGATGAATAAAATAGCAGTTTTAATAAATCAATCACTCTTCAAATTAAAATGCAGATTAAAATGTGTTACTGGCTGGAATGGAAGCCTGTCTAATGCACATTTCCTGCAATATATGGAGGACATGCAAGCTCTAGGCAGGTAGTGCCATGGCTGGCATTCATAGCAACAACTCCAGTGCTGCTAGGCGGAAGTGCTAACTACTTAGTCACGGTGCTGTCCATTCCAGTTTAGGGAAGAAGTACAGTGAGCAAATGCTGCCATGATGACAAACCTCCACTGGGAGAGGGATGTAAGTAGAATTATGCTGGCCATCATTTAACCCAGAAGACTGGTGATATCTAGTGATGGAAAGGAATTACCTTGGGGGATAACTTTTGATTTTCAGTGAATATTTCAGAAAATTATATTCATTTATATTATTATTATCTCCTTACGCCAGCCATACACATATTTGTGGCAGCATGGCGGTAGGCTTTATGCCATGCTACCACATACACTCACCAGCCACTATATTAGGTACACCTGTTCAATTGTTTGGTAACACAAATTGCTTATTAGCCAATCACATGGCAGCAACTCAATGCTTTTAGGCATCTAGACATGGTGAAGATGACTTGCTGAAGTTTAAACCAAGTATGAGAATGGGGAAGAAAGGGTACTTAAGTTGCTTTGAACATGGCATGGTTGCTGGTGCCAGACGGTCTAAGTATTTCAAAAACTGCTGATCTACTGGGATTTTCACGCACAACCATCTCTAGGGTTTACAGAGAATGTTCCAAAAAAGAGAAAATATCCAGTGAACGGCAGTTGTGTGGACTGCTTGTTTGTTCTTTCCTCGTTCAGTATATGTATGGACGAAAATGCCTTGTTGATGTCAGAGGAGAATTGGCAGATTGGTTCAAGATGATAGAAAGTCAACAGTGACTCATGTCAATATGGACCAAAATCTGGAAAAATGTTTCCAACACCTTGTTGAATTAATGAAACGAAGAATTAAGGCAGTTCTGAAGGCAAAAGGGAGTCCAGTGGCCAGTGAATGTATATATTTTTTGAACTGGGAGAGCGCTCAATCGCTTTTGCCTAGCACTGTAATCGTGTTCTCACCAAAAACTGGTAGACAGTAGGATGGGCTACCAATCACATGATTACTGTAACCACTAATCATAGTGATCACATGATTGGGAAGCCCATGTAACAACTCCGGCAAAACAATCTCATAAAGAGGGGTGAAAGCCAACAGAGGTTAATACTGTTATTATTATTTACCTAGCATTCCGCTTTGAACCCAATGAGACTTTTTATCAGCTACTTTTCCTTTATATTAAAGTTTAAAACACAATAACCTAAATAAAAGATGAAAACTTTGGCATTTAAATAGATTTATTTCTACAGACCACTACGCCTTAGCTAAGGGACATTCGAGGTGGAACAAGGGACCAAGGGATTTTTATCTAAAAGAGGGACAGTCCCTTGGAGGGACAGTTAGGAGGTATGTAGAGACATTGTTACATTTCTATATCTGCAACCCGTTGTACTGTCTTGATATTGTCATGCAGCCTGGCTACAAATATTTTCTCTGGAGACCAAGATTCTTGTATATTCAGTTGTTTCTGCAATATAGTCTGTTATTTATTCTGTTTATTGTAATGCAATTCTGTGTTCCTATTTCATGCATTCTTATTTTGCTTCCCAGTTATTCTCACCCCGTTACTCCCATGAATTCTTCAGCCTTCTACAGGCAGTCTTGCTTACTGGAGGATGACGTGCAGTCCACAGGGTAACTCGCAGTGAGGACACAACATCTCCTTTGCAGTCATTTCCAAATGTCAAGGCTAAAACCCCTAACAAAAAGTGACTTCTCTCATGAACTTGGTAATACAATGTCGTGGACAATCAAATTTTATATCTAAACAAGATTACATCTGGAAGTCACATAGAATTAGGCCCTAAAAACCCACATGTCAATCTTAGCTCGTAAACACTAGTCAGAACTCATCAGATTCATAGACTTGAAAGGGAATGTATAGTACTTTTGAAAGATGTTTTAAAAGTAAAAGTTTGGATTGAGGGTGATACCATTTATTGGCTAACT